AGGTTGGAGATCTCCAATGCCGCGGTCCGGGGCGGGGAGCAGCCCCACATTCTACGGAACCACTCCCGGTGGGGGTTGTCACACAGCCGGTTAAGGTAGCCGGGGAGTTGACGGGGTGGAGGAGGGCACGGCAGGTCCCGTTGGAGACAGACAGGCTTTATTGATCATGCATTTCCTTCTCATGGCAAGCATCAATGGGTTTAACTCGTATGATAACGTGCCGAGAGACGGCAGGATTCCCATACCTCGAAGCGATGACGAGGCAAGGAATGCTGATATCCATCAACACGAAGCAAACTTGACCCGTTTCCCAAGTTTTGTGGTTTGTAAATTAAAGATGTTGTAAAGAGAGGGCAGAGAAAAGGGTTGGCAACGGCTGGTTGATGCCCTCGGGCTCCGCAGATGCTCCAATGTGTTGACATTTGTACCGTGAATAGAAACTAGAACGGTGCGCACTGCATGAGCCGTAGGCGGTGAAGACCTTTCTAAACTCACAAAGGTTATAACAGGAGTGATAAGCTACCACGTGTAGGTGCTGTGGTTCGTAGCTTTACCTCCAGAGTCCAGGATTCCTCCGGGAGTCACAAATGGGCCGATATGCATACAACATGACTTCCTACCTAGGCTTAGGTCTTCAACAGAACCCCGGTCGGCGGAGTTGTTGTTCTGGGTTAAAAAAGGGTTGTCGGCCCAGCGTCTCTGTCGTCAGGTAGTTTCCCAAGAAGCTCAAACGACTCTCGCGAGACCCCTCAACACCACCCGCTTCCTTGTCTGAAAATCGCTTTCCAGTCATGAGCAGCACCCCGACAAAGAGGAAGGCAGTGTCGCCTACTGGATCTTCCTCCCATCAAAGCCGCCACCTACCGACCTCCCGTCTTCCGCCCCTGGATCATCAGCGGCTGCGGGCGCATCGTCGCCATCTGGACCTAGACCGACCCAGGAGGCAGGCGACGCCCTCACTGGTGGCCATTGGCTTCAACAAGAACCACCAGCGGCACGTGAAGACGACGACGACGGAAATTCGGCTTGCGGCAGCGATGCTGAAAGTTCGACTGCCTCCATCACCTCGAGCATTCTCAACTACCGTACCATCAACGGCAGAACCTACCATAGCGACAGTGTAACGGATGGAGAATATTGGGGTCCCAACGACAAAAAGCACCTCGACGCTTTGGAGATCTACCATGAGGCCATCGAGTTGATGCTCGATCACAAACTGCATATGGCACCCATCAAAGACAACATTGAGCGGGCGATCGATATCGGTACGGGCTTGGGCATTTGGGCTATCGACTTTGCCGACAAGTATCCCACGTGCGAAGTTACCGGCACTGATATTACGCCCGTGCAACCTAGCTGGATTCCCCCCAACGTCCGATTCGAGATTGATGATGCGACGAAGGAGTGGACCTATAAGCCCAACCATTTCGATTTCATCCACGTGAGGTTCATGATTGGCGCTATTGCGGACTGGCCTGCCTTTTATCAGGAGGCGTACAGAGTCTGCAAACCAGGCGGTTGGATCGAACATATCGACCATTCCCCCGTTGTGTCATCCGACGACGGAAGTGTCAAACCTGGGTCTGCCTTGGATACGTATGGCAAGGTGATCGCCCAGGCGGGACAGAAAATGGGAAGATCAACGACTCTTGCGCAGGAGACCACGATGGAGGAAGGAATGAAGGCGGCTGGATTTGTGAACGTCCAGGTGAAAGAGTTCAAGGTAGGTTGATTACCCTTCTATCATCCAGGTCGTTGACAGAAAGAACCGAACGATTCTTTAACCAACTACTGCACCCACCCTTCCAGCCAACAGTACGACTGACTCGCTTTCTAGATGCCGGTAACGGCGTGGTCAAAAGACCAGAGGGAGAAGGAGATCGGCATGTATGTCCAGACTGCTGCAGGAGCAGATATCGTAGGAGTCGTCCAGTACTTGTACGGAAATATCATGGGCTGGACGCAAGACGAGATCGAGGCGTTTGCGACTCATTTGGCCAGGGAGCTGAGGGACTTCAGTCTCCATCCGTACTACCATTGGAAGTATGTGTGGGCGCAGAAGCCGGAGGACGCCGAGTAGATTGGGTATTCGACCTGGAAGAGACAAAGAAGTCGAACATACGGTGGTCCACAGCTGTATTTATCTCAGGGATGAAGGATGGATCAATGCGGCTTTGCTTTTCGGAGGACCAGCAAGGTCTGGCAGAGGCAAAGCATTGCCGATTGGGGTTGCGCCCGTAGAGACCGAGTATGAGGTGCCGAAAGAGCGATGGAGAAGTGGGGATGAAAGATGTAAGAAGGCGATGAACAAGACGATGAAGTCATCCGCTAGAAATAACTGAAATCCGGTATCTCAAGATGAAGATATCGCACCGCATCACATCTGCTCTCCATCATGTGTGGTGTTGTGAGTGAAAGTTTCAAAGCTTGGCTTCGGTGAAGAAGAGGGGACCTGCGTTGAAGTTGAACTGTTCCCACTGCCGCGGCCACTTTCTCAACTTCTGATTGGCCAATTGCGCTTGCGCCTAGAACAACACGTTCCCAGCCACCAAAACAACGACCCTTCAGCTGGTCCGGGAGCATGGTCCCCGAAAACCCCTGAACATACACACACATCCGCGCGCATAATCAGTCACGGTAGGATGAACCCTGTACCGCCGTAGACTGAACTAGAGGTTTTGCTTTTTGTTTTGTTAGTTCTTAAAAAGACTTCACATCGTCGGTTTTCTCGTTCTGCTGGCTCTTTGTTGCTTTGAGATACCCTTTCGAATTTTCGTTGAGCGCATTGTGAGACCTGTCCGCCCAGGAATCACGGAACGGTCGGTCGTTTGTACGGAAAACCGCCTCGAGTACTGCAGAGTCCAGACGTTTGTCCATTGTCCACGTTTAGTCTCCAAGTCATCAAAGCCGAGTTCGGGTCTGAGCTAGACCGCCTTCAAGAAAATGGCGATTCCTATGGAAAGGTTAGGCGACAGAGGTATGCAACATTGTTCTTTGTAAATGGGGGAGAACAAGAGCTTACCAGCCCGTCCACAGCCTTCAACCACAGGACGAGTGTAGAGATTGAGAGTGAATATGATCGCTTGCGCGCCGAGGCCCGGGCGGAGGGTGATCAGATGAAGAGGTACTATGACGAGGTATGTTTTTGTCCAGGTTCATCTCATCTCATCTCACCCCATCTCATCTCATCTCATCTCATCTCATCTCATCTCCTGCTTCATCCAATCTCACAATCAAACCCTCCCCCTCCCTTCTCTCCAACTTCACTAACCCTTCCCCATCCAGGCTCACGCCGCCTACGAAAACGGCGACGGCGCCGAAGCCAAAAACCTCTCCAACCTCGGCAAGAAGCACAAAGCCGCCCGGGACGCTCTGAACCAGCAAGCAGCCGAGTTCATTTTCCGGGAGAACAACCATCCGGACCGCGTCGCAGCCGACACTATCGACCTGCACGGTTTGTACGTCGAAGAAGCCGAAGACATTCTCGAGGCGCGCATCCGCGACGCCCAAGCCCGCGGGCAAACGCACCTGCACGTCATCGTCGGCAAGGGCAACCACTCGACGGGCGGCGTGCGCAAGATCGCGCCCCGCGTGGAGCAGGTGTGTCGCGAGATGGGACTCGACTTTGCGGCGGAGGAGAACGACGGGAGGATCTATGTTGATTTGACCGGTGGGACAGTGGATGGCGTTCCCGGCCTGCCGCAGCAGCCGCCGGGGTATCAGCCTGGTGGAGGCTATCAGTCAGAAGGGAGGCCGGATCAGTACCAGGGCGGAGGGTATCCGGGGCAGCAGCAGCAGCACCAGGGGCAACAACAGAACCAGCAGGAGGACGACATCTGGGGCGATCTGTTGGGGGCTTGCTTCAAGAAGTGTTGTGTTGTTATGTGAGGAGGTTATGGTGTGGTTGGCGGCTTCGCGGGTTGTGGGGTTACGAACTTTAGGGTTAATGTCGGGTAATGACGGTCTGCTATGTTGGATAATGCCGGGGTAATGATGCTGACGGGAAAACGAGCAAGCGAGTTCAAAAAGCGATTTTGCGTGGTTGAATGATTGATGGCTCGATTTCTGTTTTGAGGAGGAGGGGGGGGGGGGGGGGGGGGGGGGGTTCATGAGATACCATTGTTGCGAACGACTGTTCTGGCGAGGGACATGAGGGTTGTAGCGAAGAAGATAGAGAACTGAAAGTTGGGAATGGAATATTTCATAGTACAACCCGTCCCTCGCTGTTTTATCGACCATGGTAGTGAGTTGACAAAGTCGTAGATTAGAAACTTGATGTTGTTTAATAGACGCATGGAGAAGAAAACACTTTCGGCCTACCAAGAAGAAGGGGATGTGATGTAAGAACTAACCGATATGGAAGGCAGGAAGAGCTGCCACAGCCGGAGAGACTTCGACTCACCATAGAAGCAATGCGATACGTGGTATTCCCCACAAGAATCCCATTCTTCCATGGAAACATCAATATAAGCGACATCTCAACACCCCCAATACATTCACGCCAGGACACTACGACCAAGATACATACGACCCTAGTCACTGGACAGATACTCGTGATTCTGTCCGCTCCCGCCTGGATAAGCGGTGGCCTCCAGGCGAGTAGTCGGCTCGGTGACAACCGGTGAATAACCCGGTGTTTTATGTTTCTGTCACTTTGTTGCTCTCTCGGTACCTTCCTCTTCATTATCGTCAAGCCGAGGTTGCCGTTCTTCTGTTCATTTGTATACAGACCACCGGATACAACTTGACATCAAAACACACCATACCAGGGGCAACTTGAGCAACAGGAAGCTCGCAGGCTTCTTCAACCTAATAGTCTGTAATCTATGCAACCTTGTAATGAGGTCACGCAGTCAAGAATCCACTTCCGTTGACTTTGCGCACATTTGTTTTCTCACTCTGTACCTCAGATTCCCATTTCTGGGTTTCACCACTTATCCTGCTCTTCTGCTTTTCTTTTGCCTCAGTACGTATTTGGCTGCCCTCAGTCCAAGTTCCCGTCACCGTTCAGGATCAGAACAGAACGTAGAACAAACGTGCCATTAGTATAATCGCCGGGCAGTTAACCAAGTGCCGACCAAAACACGGCATAACAACGCTCGACAGACAAGGACGCCGCCGCATACCCAAAAGAGTGGTACTACCAAAGACTCAATATCTGCGAATTAAACAACACGGTCAAAGAAATAAAAAGGGTAAGCTATGATGAACAAGGCCATAAGAACAAACAGTAAGCAAGAAAAGGCAAAGGCGAAAAACCAGCCTGGAGACAGGGTCAAGTCGCTTCCTGCCTTGAGTGGGAGAGAAGGTTGGTGTTGGGATTGGGTATCGCTGGTAGATTTGCATCCGTGTCACTATCATGACATACAAGTCTGAAAGGAAAAAGATCAAAGGTATCTGTCCCGACTAAACTTTGTCTTTTTCCCCCGTTCCATCCAGTACTGCAGCCTGATGATAAATCCTCTAGGAAGCCCCCAAGCAAAAAAGAGGTAAAAAAAAAAAAAGTACGGTAGTGGTGTGATGTGGATGCTTTTCGTACTCCTTGATCCGTTGAGAGAAACCAAAATTCGCTGGGTTATGTCGAAAGGTAAAATGTTGGATGTAATGATACTTTAGCGAGCAAATCGGATGGCAAATAGTATATCCAGGCATCTGTGTAGTTGTGGTGCGGATGGTTATGACCTATGATGGGTCTAGGATTGGTGGTCGAGTGAGGTTTTCGCGTTGTGAGATGGCCGAATAATCATGATGAAGCCGACGGAGCCATATGCATATCCATAAAGTCCTCCAAGTCCGGAACGGGTGAGAAGTTCTCCAAAAGTAGATCAGGAGCGTCTTCTTCCTATGCACCCGCATCTTCACCCAAGCCTTGCTGGCCAGGTCCTCCGGCACTACCCGACTGATCTTGGGAGCTGATAAGCTCCTCATACTCGACCACTTGCAAGGCCAGTTTCTTGGCAGTGCATTCTATGGCAATAAGCTGCCGCGTAGCCTTGTCCGCGCCCCGCACCTCGGTCAGGGCCCGATTCAACAGGTGCTGAAGCATTGGATTGCTCATCGCGGGAGCTGCTGGAGCGATAGCGCTCACGGGAGCTGGGGCAGCAAGGGCAGCATGACTACCGAGGGGATGAGGAGTACCAAAACGGAAAGCATTGGGGTCGGCTGGTATGTTGATAACACCATTTGCCCCGTTTGGCAGAATCGCAGCATTATGCTGCTGCTGCTGCTGAGCATTTTGGGGATTGCGCGTTTCTGAGACCGTGATGTTAGCATTGTCGCTCACCGTCGCACTTACAAGATAACCGGGGAAAGCTTACCGTGGAAACTGCACCTGGCACCACTGGCATTGAACCAGCAATTGGCACAACTGCCGCACATCTGGCCATCCACCACTACGCAGCTGGTCCATGGGCCGTGGCCCTTGTGGCAATTCTTACAAGGGACGCGAGCCGGCTCACCAGCAATGTGAGCGAACAAAGCTTCAACATTGCTTCTACGTGCCAGGTTGAGCACCTGCTCAGGGCGCCTCTGTTGGGCAAGACGATGACCTGGCTCACGAGCCAGCCTCTTGGCAAGGGCACTCTCGACATTGAGCGAACCATAGCCGGATTCATGAGCCATATCCTCCGTGCTCTTGGACAGCTGAGGGTCCATCGAGTGCTGATGGGGGGACGGCTGCATCTGCTGGGGTTGGCCCATGGGTGCAACAGGGGGTTGGTGCTGATGTTGGTGAGGATGGGCCTGGGGTTGGCCAAGACCCTGAAGCATATCAGCTTGTTGCTGTTGATGCTGTTGCTGCTGCTGATGTTGCTGCTGTTGCTGATGGTGCTGATGTTGCTGCTGCTGATGTTGGTGTTGTTGATGTTGAGAGTGGTCCTGAGGAGAGGGTTGAGGCACACCACCAGGGCCGCCTGGGTTACCTAGCATGTTGGCACCACTAAGATCAACATGGCCGCCGAGTCCCGAGTTTGCAGTGGCATTGGCATCTTGGTCCTCCATCTCGGCGTCAACATCCGGCTCGCCAGTGCCATCATCCAGGGAACCGGGCTGACCAAGCCCAGTCTCCATGACGGCGGCAGCAGCTGCGGCAGCATACTCCTCAGTGCCCATCCTGGCCGTAGGGTCGTCGAAGGCAGACGGGTCTTGCTTGAGGGAATCCTGGTCAATATCAGGCTCCTGTTGGTGCTGCTCCTGCTGATGCTGAAGATGATCCTGGGTTTGGTCTTGCTGATGCTGTTGCAGGTGATGGCTGTGGAGGTCGTGCTCCTGAGCCTGCTGATGCTGGAGTTGAAGCTGGGCCTGAAGTTGAGGATGGATATGGCCAACGTTGTTGGGGTCCTGGTCGGGACTCAGGTTGGTAGCCACGTTTTGCTGTTGTTGTTGTTGTTGTTGTTGTTGATGCTGTTGCTGATGTTGTTGTTGCTGCTGCTGCTGTTGGTGTTGTTGCAGCTGTTGCTGTTGTTGTTGGAACTGCTGCTGGAGCTGAGCTTGCTGAGCTTCGTGAACAGCCAGTTGCTGGACAAGTTGGCTGTTCCGGACCAGCGAGTGAGGACTGGCGACAGCGCGTTGACGTGCCGGGGTGGTCGGCTTGGACACTTTGGTTGGGCCGGGGCCCGGCGTGAGTCGCGAGGCTGGGACTTGGCCTTGGCCGGGTTGAGGGCCGACCTGGAGTCCAACGGAGCCGACCTGAACCTGGCCGACCTGACCGGGAACCTGACCGACAGCACCGACAGCACCGCGCTGGACACCGGATCCGGGGCCAGCGACAGGGCGAATTGGCGATGGTTTCATACTCCGCTTGGGGTCCGGGTTGCTGGTACCAGTTGGCAGCAATGACAGGCGGTTACCAGGTGTCGCGAGCTGCTCGTCGCTGTATGGGCTGCTAAGGGCGCTTGGTAGGGTGAGTTGGTGTTGTGCAGCTGTCGTCAGCTGGTGTTCCAAAGTCGGGCGACAAGTTTGGGGAGAAGAGGAGAGAAGTGTGTGTCCAGGGAACAGCTGGATCGGCGGGACACCGCTCGACAGACGCGACGTTTTAGCTGGCGGGCAGTCACCGGCAGGCAACCAGCAGCCAGAAGGTGGCGGCAACTGCATGCCAGTGTCGAACGCTCCAGCTTGTTGTCCTACGCACAGACACGCAAGTGCCAGAATGGCGCACAGACACGCAAGTGTCAGAATGGCGCACGAGCCACAAACCTGCCCCGACAGGCGACAGTGGAAATGCTGGTCCACTCACTCAATGATTGTTATCCGAGCTTGTGCTCTCCCACCTCGATCCTTGCTGACGGCCAATTGGTTGGAATTGCCACCACGTCCCTCAAAGAAAGCAGCGTTAAGAGATGTCGGTAGATTCCCAAAGTACTGAAGAAACGGAGCTCAAGATAGAAATCAAGTAAAAAGGGAATGTTGGATACAGTTTGGGAATATACCGGGGCTCGATGTTGAAAAAAACGGATGTTAGGAAGGAGTTGGAGTTCGAGTTCCAGACAGTCGAAGCCAGCTGGCACTACGAACAATGAATGTCCGCTGATGGAAAGGGGAGGGTTAGGGTTCAACCTGGTTGATCGCGGCATCTCGCAGCGGCAGGGGCAGGTTCTCGACAGCAGCTGCACCCCGGAGCCAAGAGCCTGGAAACGAAGCCCACGCCTTCCTTTAATGTCCAATAGACACATGATAAGAGCAAGCTCTACCGGAGCACTTGTAGACTGGAGCCCGGGACATCATTTGGGCCACGTATGACGAAGCCGTCTTTGATCTGTCCTGAGATCTATCGCTTACAGAGACTATGGGAAAGTCACTTCCAAGTCCAGTTCATCTCTGAACCATTCAGGAGACAAGAGGAACTGTCAAGAATACCTCATCTCTCGTCCAGTAACCCACGGTTATTACACTATATTAAGTTCATAGATATCATGTACATCTTCATCGTCCAAATAACACCACTGACCGTCCCGTTACTTCTTCTTCGGATGCGTAAAAGGATGTCCCTTTTCCTTCGCCCACTTCACAACCGTCGAGTTCATGCCCCTCAACACGAAAAAGTAGATGATGGGAATGAACCACCCCATCACCGTGTCCAACACCCAGCTATTCCTCGGCGACCCGCCCATGATTCCGCACTGCATCAGCCTGCCCAGGAAGGACACATCAACAAAGTACTTGCCGGCCTCCAGTCCAGCAATCGCCCTCCTGGCTACCGTATCTGGGCTCTCCGCTGGCTCATCCTTCTCCAGCTCCACCGTGATATCCGGCTTCGTCTGATTCTCCCTCTCGTAGCCAGGCGACACGATCGTACCCGGGTACACAATATGCACCTTGACGGGATTATCCGGGTAGTAATTGACCTCCATGGCCAACGTATCCGCCAGCCCTCTCAACGCCCACTTGGTGGGTGTATACGGGCCATACCCCAAAATCGCAAAGAGTGCCAACATCGACGCCGTAAACACCAAGTGCTTCGGCTCCCCTTTGGGCCCCGTGCTGTTCTCGGGCGCCAGCCACTCCCTCAGTATCGCCCGCGACATCTCGGCCGACCCAAAGTAGTTGACGTCCATATTGCGGCGCGCGGCCACCATGCTGTCGTCGTCGGTCCAGAGCAAAGGGGTCGACATGCCGGCTACGCACCAGACGATGTCCGGGGAGGAGCCCCCGTTCCAGGCGATGGCTTCGGCAATCACCGTCGCCGCGTAGTCGTGCTCGGAAACGTCGGCCGAGATGTAGGTGAAGCGCTGCGTGGACGGGTTCTTGGCGGCGGCGCGGACGTCGGCCAGGGCTTCCTCGAGGCGCCCGACGTTGCGCGAGACGAGGATCACGTTGGCGCCCTTTTGCGAGAGTTGGATGGCCGCTGAGCGGCCCATGCCTTCGGAGGCTCCGGTTAGGAGGACGGTCTAGAGTGGTGAGTGTAGAGTTAGTGTTTGCGGGAGGTCGGGGTCAGGTTGGGTTGTTGGGCTTCGGGGCGCATACCCGGCCCTCGACTGGCATGTGGTTCTTGGTGCTGAAGAGACCCATGGTTGCGAATATGCCGATGGCTGCGACGATGGCTGCGACCGGGAGGGACCAGGAGGTGCTGAGGGCTTGTAATTGTTCCATTAAGGCGTCTGTGAGAAAAGAATGAGCCATCCTCGGATTCTATGGAAATAAGACGGGACCGGACTCGAGGAGGACGTCGTGGACTCAGCGCATGTACCTCTACGGCGTAAATTTAGTGGATGCTGTCAGCGGTCAACACTGGAGCTTACACCCCTGTCTGTAAGTGACTTGTTGATGCGTGATGATATGGTCGTGTGTTTTCGAGCTCTATCAAGTCAACAACAAAGATTGAAGGAAGAAGCTAGAGTCTACTATTTGAAGTCTTCACCATGAATGAGTAATATACTGGTATAGCTCATTGAGGTCATGTCAACGTAACTCTGGCAAGTCCATCTTGGAGCTTCCCGTCGACCCTGAGGAAGCTTTGGCCAATTTTCAGATGTAGCTGTGGAGCATCTCCAACTGTGGGGTCCCGGTGGGCTGCATAGAAGTGGAGCTAGGCGGTCGAGGTTCCGCTGGGAATGGATCGCAAACTGACAAGGGCAAAAAAATTCTGCCGCTTCAACATTTGTTGCCCGCCTTAGCAAACGAACCCACCACAGCACATTGAACGAGCATCTCCTGGTGCCTTTTGACAGCGCTTTCAATATCTCACACTCGCGTGAGACACCACCGAATCCACCTAAACAGATAAACGCGACCAAACCGCAAAAATGGCCAAGAAGAGAAAGGCCCCGAGACCGACCGGCCCCGCCGAGCCTCGCGAGGTTGACGCCAAGGACGCCCGTCTTACCGTCAAGACCTACAAAGATGTCGCCAACTCCGAAGACGAGTACTGGGAGGGACAGGATCGCATCGACTTTGACGACAGCGACGATGGCAGGCAATCCAAACGCCAGCGCAAGGACAAGGAGGAGGAGTTCCTAGAGGCTTCCGACGAGGAGGTTTTCGAAGAGGAGGAATCCGACGAGGAGAGCGACCATGAAGATACCGTGCCCGCGAAGAGCAAGAAGGTTAAGACGACGGTTCTTTCCGACGAAGAGATGGGCGGTGAAGAGGAGGAGGAAGGCGACGAAGGATGGTGGGGTTCCTCCAGGAAGGACTACTACAATGCCGACCAGATCGAGACCGAGGCCGATGCCTTGGAGGAAGAGGCTGAGGCAAAGAGGCTCCAGGCCAAGAAGCTGGCCAAGATGTCCGAGGCCGATTTCGCGTTCGACGAGAGCGAGTGGCTCGGAACCAAAGAAGAGGCCGAGGGGGAGGAGGACGTTATCACCGAAAAGCTCAACGAGGTGGAGGTAACAGAGGACATGGGGCCGGAGGAGAGGTACAAGCTTTTGCAAAGCCGATATCCCGAATTCGACTACCTGGCGGAGGAGTTTAGGGAGCTACAACCGATTCTCATAACTCTCCAAAAGGAGGCCGAGGGCAAGCCTGCCAAGTCTCTGGAGATGGTCAAGTTCTGGACTCTTGGGTGCTACATCGCTTCGCTCGCCAGTTATTTCGCCATCCTCACTTCGCCAGCAAGAGACAGCCAAGGTGTCTCCAAGACGATCAGCCCTACGGAACTCAGAGACCACGAGGTTATGGGCACATTAATGAGCTGTCGCGAGGCCTGGCTTAAGGTCAAGGAGCTCAAGCCGCTCAAGGGCGTCTCCTCTACCAGCGGCATGCTTTCGCCACCCGAAGACGAGGGCGAGTTCGACGACTTGTCCGACGACGATATGGAGGACTTCAAGAAGATGCTCAAGAAGAGCAAGCGCGAATCCAAGTCTGAGCTCAAGGCCAAGGCGAAGAAGGAGGCTGAGAAGGCCAAGAAGGCCAGGGCTGTCGAGCAGTCTCTTGCCGATCTTTCCAACCTGCTCGAGACCACCAAGACGGCGGCCCAGGCCAGCAAGAAGTCTGCCAAGGTCGACAAGCGCGACGATGATGAGCGCTCCGACTTTGGTGATGAGGAGATCCTCGAGGCTCATGTAGCCAAGGAGAAGGCTGCTCGCAAGAAGAGTCTTAAGTTCTACACCTCTCAGATCGTGTCCAAGTCTGCCAAGCGTGCGGATGCGGGTCGCAACGCCGGTGGTGATGACGATATTCCTTACCGTGAGAGACTTGTAAGTTTGCCCTTTTTCAGCCATTGCCTGTCAGCATTCACTAACTTGTTCACAGAGAGACAGGCAAGCACGCCTCAACGCCGAGGCCGAGAAGCGCGGCAAGAAGGGCAGCAAGCACGGCGCCGCTTTGGGCGAAGGCGACAGCGACGACGAAGACAAGCAGGTTGCCAAGCAGGTGCGCGGCGAGGAGGACGAGTACTACGACATGGTTGCGCACAACGCGGCCAAGAAGAAGGAGGACAAGGCGGCCAAGTACGAGGCTCTGGCGGCGGCCAAGGGCGCGCGAGTCGTGGAGGAAACAACGATCGGCGCCGACGGCAAGCGCCAAATCAACTACCAGATTCAGAAGAACAAGGGCCTCACGCCGCATCGCAAGAAGGAGAACCGCAACCCGCGTGTCAAGAAGAGGATGAAGTATGCGGAGAAGCAGAAGAAGCTCAAGAGCGTCAAGGCCGTGTACAAGGGCGGCGAGGGCAAGGGCGGATACCAGGGAGAACTGTCGGGTATCAAGAGCAACCTGGTCAAGAGTGTCAAGCTTTAGAAGTCTTGATTGGGGGTTGGTTTTGGTCTTGGTGGTCGTTGGACTCGTTTGCAGTGCCCTGGGTATCATTATCATGCATGTATAGATTTCTGGGTTCTGTCGATAATCATGGCCTTCTACGGGAATGGGAACAGGGGGCTTACACACGGCAATAACATCATGTTTCTTGAACACACTCTCGGTACCTCTGTGGAGCTACCAAATCTGTGATATGTGTATATCGGAGGTCGCCGGTACTGGCATCCCGTTATTCTCATGTGCCGTTTGTGGATGTTGTCATACTCGAGTTTCATCCAGCGGTTGACGTACCCCACAATCTCCACCGTCCGGGGTGCTTGAGCCGCCTGAGACGTGCATTGGTCTAGGGCGATTTTGCCGCCGCCGAGGATTTGGGGGAACCGGGTTGTCGATGAGGCAAAGGAGTCATGCCACCCTTCAGACTTTTTTTCTCATCATGTATGACTCCAATTGACTTAGCAACCAAACCAGATTGACACTTTTCTTTTGCTCGGGTCCTTTTGTTTACTTTCATTTTCCATCTTCATCATCATCTTGAGCTTCACACTTCAGCTTGTACCTCCTCTATTTCTTTGGACGACAGACAGCTCATGAATTTCCTCCGGTCTCTTCAATTGAAGTGACGTACCTCCCTCCGTCTACCGGACACACACACACACACACACACGCAAAACAGGGACATAACAAAGAGCGAGGTGAACTGGGGTTTTCCAGTTCCAACGATCTCTAAGGACAAACAACTCAATCCAGAAGGAGGGAGAGCAAGGAGCGTCAAGAATTGCTTTAATCCCATCATCACACTCCAATCACGCCTAAAATCACAAGCGTATCCATAACCTACCCAAAGAGAAGGACGCACAAAAAGTGAGACAACATCGCATACGTACGGTCTCACAGACAATTCATCAGCCACCATGGCGCCCCCGGCCGAACTCCTCAACCTCGACGTTGAGGCGATATCGGGGATCCTCGGGTATGTCTTACGTTTCCCCCCCCCCCTCCTCTTCTCCCCAGATCACATCACACTAACCTCCGTCAAACAGCTCCATATCAATAGCATGCTGGGTCGTTGTCTTCTCCCCGCAGATCATCGAAAACTTCCGGCGTTCCTCGGCCGACGGCTTATCCATCCAATTCATCATCATCTGGCTAACCGGCGATGTCTTCAACATCCTGGGTGCCGTCCTTCAGGGTGTCCTGCCGACCATGCTGATTCTGGCTATTTACTACACCATTGCCGACGTGGTGCTTTTGGCGCAGTGTTTCTATTATCGGGGGTTTACTTGGCGGGACGAGGTTGTTGTTCCCGTTACGAGCGATGACGAGGCAGTGGCAGTGGAAAGTGATGATGGTGATCGACAGAGGAAGAAGAATAAGGGGAAGGGGAGTGACTGACTGCTGCTGCTGCTGCTGCTGCTGTTGTTGTCTGCTGCTGCTGCTGCTGCTGGTAACGGAAGAAGGGAAGAAGAAGAAGTTGGACCGGATGAACGCACCGCTTTGTTGCTGGGTGGAGGAAACGCAGGAGTGGCTTCCTCTGCTGCCAGCGCTACCACCAGCGCCACGTTGACTCCTCACCATCACCATCCACTGACAAGACCCTCAGATAGCATGGACTGCAACCTCTCTGAACAAGAACGATAAGAAACAAACTTCCACTGACAAGACCCTCAGATAGCATGGACTGCAACCTCTCTAAAACAACAACAACAACAACAACGGTCACAGCCACCACCTTGGAGCAGCCGGAGGCGATCTCGGCCCCTACGACGGCACCCGCGAACGTCGCGGCTCTAACTGGTCTCATCTCTCGCCTGTCGTCCCCTTAATTGACCCCGCCGACCTCGAAGCCGACATCCTGCACCAGCCGCGCCGTGGCAACGGCAACAACCGATCGCGACCTACTAATGCCGGTCCCACGAAGCTGCAATCCTTATTGTTCAACCTGTTCGCCATCCTAATGGTTTGCGCCGCCGGCGTCATGGGCTGGTTTTTGTCTAGGGAGTATTACCCCCAACAACAACAACAGCCATCGACTGAACTTCCTTCTCCCGGTTCCGGCTCTGGACCAAAGGATGGCAGTGGCAGTGCCAGCGGCGGCCGAGTCGAATTCTCCCTCTGGGGCCAAATCTACGGCTACCTCTCCGCCGTTCTGTATCTTGGCTCCCGCCTGCCACAATTGCTGCTTAACTTCCGACGCAAGTCCACCGAGGGCGTGTCGATGTTATTTTTCCTGTTCGCCTGCCTCGGTAACTTGACTTATGTGCTGTCGATCCTGGCCTACGACGGCTCGGCGGAGTGCGCGGCTGGTCCGGGCGATTGTGATAACGGGGAGGAGGGCAGGATTTACTGGCGCTATGTGCTGGTGAATATGAGCTGGTTGGCGGGAAGCGCGGGAACGTTGTTTCTGGACGGGGCGATTTTCGTGCAGTTCTTTTTGTATAATAAGGACGAGTTTTATGAGGATGAGGATGAGGAGTGGGATAGTGGGAGTGAGAGTGGGAGTGACGGGAGTGGGAGTAGTTCTGTGATTAGTGAGAGGAGTGGAAGGGTTAGTGATGAGGAGGATGGGGGAATGGGGGGCGGTGCAGAGCAGGGCCAGGAAAGTGATGGGAGGGGATGGGATAGTGATGATGAGAGGAGTAAGTTGGATGAGGATGAGATGAGGGGTCGGAAGAGGAGGGCTGAGAGGGATGCAAGAGTGAGGGGAGGTGTGGCTGCTGGTGCCGGTGCGGGTGGAACTGAGAGTGGGAGGATATGAAGTGATGGATTCTCTCATCGATTTGGGTTGGAAAAAAACTTGGTTGATGGATATGACGAAAGGCGGAACGGAAAATGATGGGGCTTATATGGGCGTTTTAAGATGACATTTTTGGCTTTTTCAGCTTTGGATCAGGCTCTTCTTTCTTGCAAAACAAAAAAAGATATACAAAAACACCCTTCTCATCCCCCTCATTTCAACCACAAACCATGGCATACAGCAACCACACACACTTAAAGCTTATGTCTCTTCTTCCCGCTCGCAATCTTCTCAAACTCGCCCTGCGGCACTCCACTAACAAACCGATCCAATCCAGCCATAACCTCCGCCACATTCTGCCCATCATACACGTCTCTCTCGGGCCTTCTAATCAAGCTCTTGATCCCCAAAAGACTATCACCCACAAGATGATCTCCCAACCGCTCCTCAATCTCCTTCAACACCAGCCCCTTAAACTTGTCCGTCTCGCCCTTCCCCACTTCCTCAAAGCACTTGGTCACAAACCCCGTCTGCACCAGTTCTTCTTTGGTAATCCTCTTGCTCATGATCAACGCTTCATTAGCCTTGGCCAGACCGAGTCTTTGGACAAGGCCGCGCGAGGCGCCTCCCTCGGCTACCAGACCTAGGGAAGAGAAGGGGGTGAGCAAGAAGGTGGAGGGCACGCAGTAGATAAAGTCGGCGAAGGAGACCAGGGCGGCGGACAGGCCGATTACGGGCCCGTTGAGTCCCACGATCAGGATCTTGGGGTGCGTGTAGAAGGCTTGGGTGATGTTGAGGTTGTTGGCGACGAAGTTGCGGAGCCAGTGGTTGTGGATGGCGTCTTGGGTGGAGAGACCTTCGGGCTGGGGGATGCCGTCGTTGGATTTGGAGACTGAGACGTCGGCGCCGCTGAAAGAGTGTTAGCAATGGAATTGGAATAGAGATGTTCGATAGATGTATTCGATGTTTTACGATACATGGATGGCGATGTGGTGTGGTGCTTGTCTAGGTGATGGGAGTGACTCCTCGACTTACGCGGAAAAGTAACGGCCAGTGCCAATGATCAAGGTAATGTAGACCTCATCATGGGTAGCGACCTCACGTAGCCGTTGAGCCAGATGGTAGTATTGCATCTGGCTGAGGGCGTTGAGTTTCTTTTCATTGTTGATGGTGATGATGGCCAGTCGGCCCTTGTACTCGACGTTGATGACTGATGATGATTCCGCCATGGTCTCGTATGGGTGAACTGAATTCAACAATTGAGACAGAAGTTAAGTTTCAAAAAAGAGTGAGATGACGAAGGGGGAGTGAGAGATGTTGATATGTAAGATGGAATTCTTTCCTTTCTTCGCTTCCCCGGATGTGAGAATAAGACGAACCCCTGCTTTTGCGCGGGGCCGGCGGGCTTGGAACTGTCAAGGTATTCCCCACAATGCGGGGGTGGAGACCGTCGTGCCTCGGGCCCTCGGCTCCCCACTGTTGTTGCCCTATAGGGTTAGCCATAACATTGATCTCTTTTTGCCCTCTCTTCACCCTTTTCACTCTTTGCTCTTCTCAATTTCAACTTTCAAGGTTCTCACAACGTAACCAGCAGCGACTGCGGCATGTGGGCAGAGAGAAGATGCGAGCAACCCAGCTGTCCAACAGCCCAATGTGGGAAAATATGCTCCATAGTTGAGGAAGTGGGATGATGCTCAGAAAGAGGAGTCGAAGTCGAAATATCCAAGACATTGCAAAGCCCGAGTTTCATACCTCGGATGACACTCTTGCCAGACGGAAACAAAGTCCAGCTGGATGCTACGGTACCAATCGCAACAATCAGGGTCCTGGGCGGGCTTGTCTCCGCGGTAGGAACCTCCATGGCTGAGTTTTCTCCTCCTGGACCTCCTTCATCGGCGCCTTATCCCCATTGAAACAACCAACAGGAGCTCGATTGTCGAACTGGGGAAACAAGGAACCAAATTCTCAGGGGAGCGGACTTCTTCCAGGTATCCAATGTGTTGGGAATCTTTCCCTCAAATGATTTAGCTACCAAGTTGACTGCAGCGCAGAGTCGCGTTGGATTGTCAACGAAGGGCGCACGCTTGTCATCTCTGAGTGGGGCCCAAGTTCTTATACGCCATTTCTCTGTTGACACTGGAGATTATGACCCTGTGTTGAGATGAAGATAAAGGCGCATGTATTCCTCAGGATGTCAATATTTCCACTCATCTTCATTACTCCGGGTTGAGGCCGTTCATTAGGAAGAGAAAGGTTCGAATCATCTTTCGAAGACGACATATTCCACCAAAGGCCAGGGGGTAACCAAACCAGATACATCAAAATGAATTCCCAATCAACTTTCGATATACCACTAGACTCACTACCTCCATCCTATCCAACCACGAAAAGCAGGACAGACCCGGACCCAATACGTCGAGCCGAGACCGGCACTCCCGAGCCTCGGGAAGTCACCCAAGAACCAAGAGGACATGAGTTCTCCCAGCTCCCACCAGTCGATGGCGGCAAGGACGCCTGGCTCTTCCTGGCCGCATGTTTCGTTGTCGAAGGATTAGTTTGGGGTGTGTTCGCGCCCAACCCATCATCTATCTCTGCACATAGCCAGACAAATACTAACGTAGCTTTCCAGGCTTCCCCTACTCCTTCGGCGTCTTCCAAGACTACTACAGCACGCACCCGCCCTTCTCTTCTTCCTCCAACCTCGCCGTAATCGGCACCTGCTCCATGGGCATCATGTACCTGGACATCCCACTAATCATGGCCTTCTTCCGGCGCTATCCGCGGTTCGCGCGATGGTCTCCCATCCTGGGTTTGTTGGTTATGTGTTTCGCGCTGGCCATGTCATCCTTTTCCAAGACTGTCACACATCTGATCATCACCCAGGGCATCTTTTACGGTGTGGGCGGGTCGATCGCTTACTCACCTTGTATTGTTTACCTGGACGAGTGGTTCGTCAGGAAAAAGGGATTGGCTTACGGGATCATGTGGTCGGGCACGGGGCTGGCGGGCGTGGTGTTGCCGCCGTTGCTGGAACATTTCTTGTCCGAGTATGGACATCAGACTACCCTCCGAATCTGGGCCGTGGCGGTTTTCGTCTTGACGGCGCCGTTGGCGTGGTTTTTGAAACCTAGAATTAGGGTTTCTGTTGGGGGGAGGGCTGCGGCTGCGAGTGAAGCAACTTCCGTTTCCACCTTTACGCCTGGCAGGACAACCCTGACCAACAACGCCGATACAATGACTCACGTTGTCCCAACACCAACACCAACACCAACACCAACGCCCTACAACCCCTCCCCCTCCCTCTCCTTCGTCCTCACCCGCCCCTTCCTCCTCTACCAGCTCTTCAACATAATCGAAGCCCTCGGCTTCTTTCTCCCGGGCATCTACCTGCCCTCCTACGCGCGTTCCGTCCTGCAAGCCCAGACCCAGGGTGGGGGGTTCCTCACCTCGTTAACTCTGTTGCTGCTCAACGTCGCCTCCGTCTTCGGCTGCATAGCCATGGGCTGGTTCATCGACCGACTGGACGTCACCACCTGCATCATGCTATCCACAGCCGGCACCGTGCTGGGGACTTTTTTGCTGTGGGGGTTCGGCACCAACTTGGCCGTGTTGTACGTGTTTTGCGTGGTGTACGGGTTCTTTGCCGGCAGCTTCACGAGTGCGTGGCCGGGGATCATGAGGGAGGTTGTCAAGTTGGGTGGGAGTGGTGGGAGTGATGATGGTATGGGTAGTAATGAACACGGGAGCAAGCCTGTTGATCCGACCATGGTATTTGCGTTTCTGGCGCTGGGGAGGGGAGTGGGAAATGTGGTTAGTGGGCCGTTGAGTGAGGTGTTGGTTAGGGGGTTGCCGTGGCAGGGAAAGGCGTTGGCTGGGTATGGGAGCGGGTATGGAGGGTTGATTGTGTTTACGGGGGTGACGGCGTTGGTGGGAGGGGGAAGCTTTTTGTGGAAGAGGTTGGGTTGGTTGTAAAAGGAGATGGATGGGTTGCGATGCGAATGGGTGCAAGTTGAGATTTGTCTGGACGGATCGTAGTCTCCTTGGTCTTCATTCTTTGCCGTTGCAGGTGGCAGGTAAAAGTTGACATGATTAGAGCTCAAATGGGCGGTGTACCATACCCGTATCGACGAATGTGGCTGGACATGACGCAAGGCACTCGCCATCTATACCGATCTGTCGATGATGGCATCAAGGCCGACTGGCTGGTACCAAACCCCTGCAGAGGTCCTTAGAGTTGGACAGAATTTGAGGCTGAGTCTCTTGAACTGACAGTGTGATGGATGATGAGCACATCGTATTTCATCCTTGTTGAGCCATGGCATTAACACGTTTGTATGCAGATGTTGCCCTGACCACGGACAAGATGTGATGCTGCTAGGATGTTCAGGTCACCATAGGTAGGATCATTGTGTTCTGTGACTCCTCCGTCTCTCATCAGAAAGGCAGGAAACGTTGCGCATACCTCGTTCCTCGGTCTCTGCTCGTAGCACCAAACATCAACATCTGATGAGAGAGTTTTGCTTGTGCTATGTTCAGGTTCAAGGAACATGGTGCGGTATACAGGTAGTGCAATGCTGCTCGCTGATTCCATCGAAGTTGACGCAACACCACGGATGAAGTCCGAGAACTACAACCACAGGGTCGACAATTGCATGCCATGTCTTGAGTACTTAAGGAGACAAGACCATGACGTCCAAGGACCGCATGGACGGATCTTGACACCAGACCGCTCAGCCTCAACTCAGTCGCTTATACTACGGGCGAGTTCACTCGCGATCGACACGGATACGAGTTGTGTTACAAAAGCAACAGTCAGGCAAGAAGCTATGCTAGGATGCTAGGGGAGAGTAGAAATGTTTGTCCTTTTTAGTCCCGCTACAGCACGCGAGTGATCATAGGACAGAACACTCAGCTGCAGCGGGGTGGATTAGACCGGCTGTCTAGGCCTTGGGGTTTTTCTTCCACGCGAACGATAAAATCAATGTTAACCTAGAGCGCAAGGAGAGATAGCGCAAAGGCAGGCAAGTTGTGGGTTTTGTATGTAGTGTATGTGTGCTTGTGCTTGTCATCTTGTGATCTGATGCTGTCAAGGGGGTGATGATGGATTAGGTAGGTCAGTCAGAAAAAAGACAGTGTCGCCGCCGTCAAACCGTTGTTTGGCTGCCCGGAGCAACTGCATCGGGGAGCAGGACACGAATAACAGCCCTGAGTAACACCCGGGAATGTTGAACATGACAGCCAAACCTAGTTGAGGCCGGTCGACAGGGATCTCTTGCGACGTTGCGCAGAGTTTGGACGGATTGAGAAAAAAAGTTGTCGTTGCTAGTTGTGAAAATGGGGAGTTGTGCTTGTGCTGTGAAAGGAGGAAAGGGTCCAGAAAATTTCAAATTCTTGACGCTTTTTGTCTTGACTTCTCATGTGGCCCGTGCCCTTTCCAACCCCACCATGAATTGCGCCCGCTGTTTGTTTGGGCGGAGGGGCGGCAATGGCGGTCCGGGACAGATGGCGCCGTGGTCTGTGCGCTGCCTGCCCGCCCGCGAGTGCAAGCTACAAAACTGAATTGTCGCAAACCGCAGTTTTCGACTTTTCTCTTCTTTTCTTCATTAAACACTTATAAACGCACCTTAAATCAACCGAGATTGACCTACTCCTCCACTCTCTGTCGGTCAATAAGAGTGCAAGAGTAACTTGAGTCTCCTTCCCGCTATCAACACGGCATCAGCGCGTTCATTTCCCAATGGCTCTGAGACCGGTCGGCGGGGGGTTCTCTACATCTCTACCTACTCCAACAAAATGCAGCATGTAGACGGCATCAACTTCAACTACTACGTACAATGACAGCCGCCGTGCTTGGGTGACCTGGGTGAACGGGGTGACATGGAACGAAGCGTTCTCTGCCAAATCCAAAAGCCATTCGCTTCGACTCCGTTATACCAACATGTCAAATACGGATGGCCACAGAGTCCACAATAACTGTAAGGCATCTCACCCTAGATCCTCACCGTGTGTATTCCCTTGTGTTGTAGGTGATAGATTCCGTACCACGTAACAGAGCAAGACGGGTCTAGGATGCCTCGTGGATCAGTACCGTGCTCGTATTTGGCTACAGCTCGACGAACCGCTGCCGTACTCCATCTTTGCCGTCTACGCCGTCCGTCCGAGCTGTCAAGCTGCTCCAGGCCTAAATCGAGATACACTCCGTGGAAGGACTTGCCGGCATTGTCCCACCTGAGAAGCTCCGTTGTGTGTCTGGGAGATGTCCCTGAGTCGTGTCTTCCTAAACCTCGCGGAAAGCTACAGTCGGTGGGGGTCAACCAGACACTTCGGATGGCTGATGAAAGCGAGGGCCTCTATGTCACGGTCGGAATAAACAAACAGATGGGTCACTCATGGGTTATGGTAAACGGGAAGTATGCAGGTTTGTGTCAACCGTGGTTGGCGATAGCCTCACCTCCCTGCTCCGGACCCCTCTCGCAACTGAGACATCCAGCAACCAAAACCGCAAATCTCGAGTTGCAGATATGCAAAGGGTCGAATCTGGTGGTCTTGGACATCTGAAATCACATTTCAGAGGCCAGAAGACAAGACCAGGGTGCGCATATCCGTCGCTCAAATCTTGCTTCGCCATGCCATGTCAGGCATTAGAGCACTACAGCATCTTAGGTTGACGCACAAGTCGCTGCTACATCCCTTGTCCGACTCGATAACCGCCCGACTCAGCAATCAGAAATGCAACCGTAATCATGCTCGGTTGCTCTGTGGCCTGTACCATGGTCAAGTATAGACTCCAAGCCCCTGGACTCGCTGAACACGAGAGCTACTACCAAATTCAAGCGCCTCCCACCGGGGATCAAGGAAGTTTCACCCGAGGGTAGAGAGATTCCCTTCTCTTTTCAACCATCTAGTCCGACGTTGGCCGGTTTGGGCTCGGCTCCAGCAGCCACCTCCCGAGACCAGATATGCCGGCTGCTCCGTTGAATGCGGCTCTGCCCGCTTCGCACCTCCGCTTCACTGCCAGTTGTGAACCACTACCGGAACTGGCGGTCAGAGACACCGTCCTTCCCAGTAAGCAGTGTACCGTATCCTCTCACCTTCAGGGCATCACGAAACACCGCCAGATTTCCCCTTCATGACCTCCATGGTAACCATCACCAAGACAGCCTGCCATATGCCGCCGGGATCGACGTTGTTTCAGTGTCAATATACCGAGGAATAGGAAGATTTCCCCGGTCTGACTCCTTCCTCCTCCTCCTCAGCTTACCCCCTTACTCTGAGAAATAACGTACGGAAGGCCGCAGCAAACTATTAACTTGTGACGCGGTAGACCAGAGTCGTACGGATCGTCCTCTTCAACCGTGTGTTGATAGTCTGTATTGCCTTCGGGCTGATGGCAACCTGCGGAGAGGTAGAAGTGCGAGCTTGACTTGGGCTGTGAGCCTTGGCATCGATGTTGACTACCAAGGTTATGGTGGCTTTGATGAAGAGAGCGGCTGATCATGATCAGGGTTGCCGGCTGAGCCAAGAAGGGGAGCCCTCAGGTAAGCGTTGTGTGTATCGTGAGATGATGTCCTAACATGGCAGTCAATATGTTGGGCCAAAGCGTCGTCCGTTTGGACGGATGGGATATATAAGCCCCTTCGTCGGCAGATATGGTAAGGACTTTTGGGCGCTGGACACTGAGATTCTCAACAGAAGCATTATCCATTCTCTTCATTTGCCGCAAGATCGATACTTACATACCCATCCCAAGATATATCTTATTTCCCGCCTCGACCGGCTATTGACACATCAACATGATCAGAACCACCAATAACTGTGGCTCCAGCCTTTTCACTACCGAAGAAATGGTCAACAACTACATGTCCTTCACTGGATTGGCCCAATATTGTTGGAAAACTCCGACCATGATCGACGGCCCCGATGATCCGGACCCAAAGTCTGCCAACAAAAAGCAGGCCAGAGGCACCATTCAGTATGGACCAGATGAAGAGGACCCTCGCCAAGCCGAAGAGCCTCAAAGACGCTTCATGAGCATCTTTCTTGACGGCGATAGTGGATATGAAGGATCAAGAAAGTCTTCTCCCAGGAAATAGTCCAGTGAGTTTGCACCTTCCCATCTACCGTAGCCACTGATCATAATGCCAGGATGAATACTGACATCTAACACCGATAAGATACATCTGGTTATCAGACACATGTCAACATGCTTTTTGACAAGCCACGGGGACCCTGTCCCAAAGTCCCGACCAGAGGAGTCACTTTGAGACATTCTCGTCTCAGTGACACCAGGCTGCTGCTTCAGTTATATAAGGGGATCACGACTTGACGTGATGATGGAAGGTCACCTGCTGCTTTTCTTAGGTACCTTACTCTTGGCTCTGTTTCTTCCTGCATCTAGGTACTATGGATTGTCCCGTCTCGGCTCTTTCGCACGGAAGTTCTTTTTGGCTTACACATACTATACCCCTACACCGCTAAAAAGATCGCAACACCGTTTCTGTTTTGCATGTTCTTTATTTTGTTTTTTACTATTGCACCTCAATCAACATCTTTGCTCAATTTCTCGGAGAAGGACATAATCGTGGGGGGGTGGGGGGGGGGGGGTGGGAATAACTGCTAGGTAAAAAGTACCTGTTTGGAAGAACAAGGAAAGGTGGGAAAGACAAAACGGGGGGCGGCTCTTTTGATTTTCAGCCAGTTTTGCTCTTTCTTTGGCTTCAGTTTATTTCCCTTACCTTGATAGCTTCTAGAAGAATTCTTCCCCTAATACCAGTACCAGTACCGTACGTCCCGTTCCTTTCAAAACTCATCCATGTTTCTACTTCCTTTGGTACCGTACATTGTCCATGTCCATGCACACACGTTGTATGTCTTAAATCCACATACCCGCCTCATCACGTTTTCCGCTTCCTCGCATACGCGCGCCGCCAGATATATCGCGCCCATGCGCCCCCCTCTCTCTCCCGGGTATGTTGTCTCAGTTTCTTCTTCCCAGCATTTGTGTCTCAGCTTGCGACACATACTTTTGCCTATCAAAAGGCAACCAGCATACCCGACCGGCTGTTCCTGTCTCGGAATTTTCCCCAGCAGTGGTCGCTGAGGTGAGGGAGGGCAAAGGACTAGTTCTAGACTGGACACGGTGAGAGTGACTGACTGACGCACTTTAACATGTAGAGGTATCCTTGTCTGCCAAACCTCAAAAGCCTGCCCCAGGCGGATGACATCTACCTAGTTGTCAGCTGCGGTGCAGCAGGTCTATCAGTCAGTCAGTCATTTGATCAGTCAACCGGCTAGTCTGACTGCGAAGACAATGAAGAAATGCAAGTTGAGGTTGAAACAGACATTGATACCTACCTAATATAGGTACCTTACACAAAGACAGAAATCCTGAGGTCTGAACTGGACCAACATTGATAAAAACGCATCCACGAAGAAGCTGAAGGGGTTGGTTAGGTTAGGTTCAAACACTTGAAATTTGAAGCTCAGGAAGTACCGTAAGTACCTACCCACAAGAAAGAAAGATCTTTTTCCCTCTTCAGAAAGTACCGAACCTGAACCGCCTACCTCTAGTGTACGTACTTTAGCAGGTAAGGTACCTACATTACCAAGCTACCGAGCTACCTGAGCCGCCTCGTAGGCTCGTAGCTAGCCCTATGAAAAAATACTCCTACACCACCTACTTTCATCAGGCCTCAGGTTGAGACAACATGTTTCGAAAACATCCTTGGCTGCTGCAAGGTTTTGAGTACTTCCATCCAGTCCAAGCCTCGTGGCAAGGGGGGGGGGGGGAAACGAGCCACGAGGCAGGCAGGCAAGCAGGCAAACAAAAAGTCAAAACAGCGCAACGCTACCTTACCTCACTAATCGTTAAGGCCAAGTGAAATATTTCCACACCCCCCAACCACGAGGCGAGGCTTGGCGAGGCTTATTTCCGTGGCTTTTCCAGGTTCCACGGAGGGAGAGAGGGAGGGAGATATCAAAAAGACTGGACGACCTAAGAGGGGGAAAGTACTGTACTGAAGCTTCATAGTTAGTGAGGCTAACGTACCTAGAGAAAGAGAGTTGAGGTACCTACCTTACCTACCTACCTTGCCTTACCTGCCTGGGTACCTAGGTACTTACCTCTACTGTTTTCACGGTTTATGGATACTGATGACTGGAAATTTTGATTGGTGAAGATCATACATACCTACCTCTAGCGGGTTTACCTTTATGTCTAGGTCCAGTCTGGGAGGAGGAGCAACACAAATACCAACCTGAACTATCGCGATATAAACAACCTTTCAGGGGAAGTTTATAGCAGAGTCGAGTCGACCAATCCAAAGGAGATGAGATGAGATGAGACGAGATGAGTTGCAAGCTGCTGACTCCGTCCGGATCGGCACCCTATTATTGAAAGCATCGAATATTAATTGCCTGGCGAGCTGCTATTGATTGAAAAACGCGTTTGATTACAAAATTACCTTACCTAGCTAGGAACATCGGCAACTGTGGAAGAAGGACTCCCGTCGTCAATACAACCAACCTGCACTTCTTTTTTGCTGACCTGGGTGGGTGATGGGGGACCTGGTTTTTATCCGTACCGTACCGGAATCTCAATATGATGTCCATGGGTTAATATCCCGGAGAAGAATCTGGGAGGGAATTTAATGAACACTGCAGTGGTGTTCTCCTTCACCATAAGCTGTTTGCGATTTTGTCAAGGCATGTTGACACGAGCAATTTTGCTTCATCTCTTCTATGTTCAAGAGTTGAAATGAACTCCCGAAGGATGGGCTTTATTTGATGACGACAGTTCGTGTGTGTTCTGGTTTCTTAAACTTGTCCACTCTTTGACTAGGTACCTAGAGGTATCGTCAATGCAACTTCATTTTTGGTCTTGGTCTTCGTGTAATGGTATCATCGAGAAGAACAGAACCATAAAACCACCCTCAGAACGTTTTCATTCGTCTAAAATCTGGTTGGGTTTGGCAGTTTAATGGACAACAAGCTCATTTAACCACTTTGGAAACTCGGGGGTTTTATATAGCCGCCACACCTTTGGATGAAACGGGTATTCTTTGTTGTCGACCTGACTGTTGGGTTGGGCAGGGCAGGGGGGGCCTAGACTGGTCGGAATGAAATTGAATAAAAGAAAAGTTGTTCAGACCTCTTTTGGGAAATGGGAATGGCAATGGCAAACATGACAAGTGTAGTAGCTTGCTTTCCTTTGACCAAGATTTTCAAGAGAGTCTTGGTTTCTAATCGGTTTACTTTGTCATTGAGGCACAACTTGCGTTAATCCCAAGGTAATCATGAAAGCATGAAGTTCTCTGGACCCCCCCTGTTTGGAGCCGTATCGATAGCGTTGGCGCATGGGAATGGGCACCTCAATGTCAATGAAAGTCATGATTATGCTCATATCCACAAAGCGTGCGGGATAGAGGGGATAGAAGAGGATTACACCCTTCGCTTACCCGCTGCCAATGTTCTCCTGAATGGAGACATCGACGTGTTGAATCACTACGCCGGGAACAACACCAGATCGCGCCCTCAAGACGATCTCAACCCACCTTCAGGGCACAACTGGAGTCATACCACACCTTGCTTCAACAGCATCATCTCCAACGATGTCTTCTGTGTCTTCACAGACACCTCCTTCGCCAACGAGCAAGGTATCTCTTGCATCACCAACGCTCAACGAGGCGCTTACCTGTCTTCACTTCCGCCCTTCACCTCGCCCTCTACGACCACCAACAAACCCAACCCTGCGAAATACACCATCAGCTCTATCCCCGGCAAAGGCCTCGGCCTCATCGCCACCACCCGCATCCCTCGCGGTTCTGTCATTCTCTCTTCCCATCCAACCCTCATGATCGACTACCGCGTTTTTGACGAGCTTTTGCGCACCGATTACATGTCCCTTCAAGCAGCCGCCATTTCGTCTCTTCCATCGGCCCACCGCTCGGCATTTTTCCATCTCTACACGCAATCCAAAAATGACACTGCTGGTGGTCGTCTCTCGAGAATAGCCCAGACTGACAGCATCATAACCACCAACGCTTTTGACATCTCTGCCTCTCCGCGCTCCCCTTTCAATCCAGCACCACCCGAACCAAAACAGGCCGACGACGACGACGACGACGACACCTGGTACACCGTCTTTGCATCCCCCATCTCCCGCCTCAACCACGATTGTCGGCCCAACGCCGATTACCGCTTCGACTGGGAGAAGGGGCTGGTCCAAGTAATAACTGCCGTGCGAGACATCTTCCCAGGAGAAGAAATCACCATCTCCTACATCAACCCGCTCCAATCCCGCCATGCTCGACAGAAACATCTGAGAACGGTGTGGGGGTTTGACTGCTCTTGTGAGCTTTGCTCGCGGTCGTTAACAAAGGTGAGAAGGACAGGGGAGTCGGATCGGAGGGTTAAGCTGATCAAAAAGGTTCGGAGACTGCTTAGGGAAGAAGGGAAAGATGGTGAAAGCAGCAAGGTTCAAGGTAATGGAGAATGGGAAAGGACGAAGATGGCGGAGTTGTTGGTTAGTCTGTATAAAATGGAAGGGTTATGGGGGATGGTACATGAGACGTATGCGGTGGCGGCGAGGGAGTATAATAAAGCGGGAGAGGCTTGGATGGCGATGAAGTGGGCGGGATTGGCGGTTGAGTTTGGGACGATGGTGTTGGGAGAATTGGATGAGGAGGTTAGGGAGATGAAGGAGTTGGCGAGGGATCCGTGGATAGTAGAAAGGAAGCATGAAGGTTATAGGGAGAAGGTTGAAGGGGAGGAAAGGACAGAAGTGGAAGGTGATGAGAAACCGGAGGGTTTTGGGGTAGAGGATGAGAGTGATGAGGACGAGGATGAGGAAGGCTGGTAAGAACTGCTTTCTCTGTTCTGCCGCGTATCGTTACCACATTGTGTTGACTGTGTTGGACTGCTCTGTTGTGAAGCCTTTAAGTCTTTCTTTGTCTCGGGCGCTTAGGGTTCAACTACTTTGCCCCGGGCCCTGATATTCAGGTACCAGAACACAGCAGGCAAGGCAGCTCAGGCGGTACTAACAGGACGTCATCGGTGGATCGTTTCAGGTCTTTGATGAGGTATCCATAGCCATCCGACGATCCGGCTCTGGAAGAGAGGGAAAATTAAAAATAAAATCTGCGCTGAATGCCGCTGAATCGCTTCTGTTGAGGCCATCTTCAAGTCTTGTCTGAGTGCTCCAGACCGTTGAGAAAAAGCAACAGCTCCCATCAACTTCACGTTCCAGACCAACCTATCCCGAGCGTTAGGGTAGTTAGCGACAAGTCTGCATAGCAGAGAACCGGCACCTAGAGCTACTAGTCGCTACTTCCAGCTTGGCGACAGGGTGGAGTGCGGGGTATCGTTGAGCTTGTTCGCTTGGTGGTGCTGCACCTTGATGTCAATCCTCCAGTCCCAAACAAGGAACCACTAGTGTAGACTTTCAGCTTCTCCCTCCCCCACACACAAGACTGGCAGCACAGCCTCACAACCACCACCGGCGATTGCAACGCAACAACTTGGATTCAGGAGCTCCCCATCATTCAGATACTATACAACCCAACATTCCTTCACGCGCCGTGTCCATCACTCGTTTGCTACACGACACCACCGACTGTACGAATACCGCTTCCACACTATCACCACGACGACCTCCCACAAACCACGATAATATACCCCTTAGGCAGCAACAATGGATTCCGAAAAGGCCATCGCGGCCATCAAAGAGGCCAAGCCCCCTGCCACTGACCGCTTCACATATCTCACCATTGTCGAGACGAACCTCTCCCCGGCCGTCCTGCCCACCCTCAACGAGGTCCTCCAGGATGCAGAGCTCACCCAGGAAATCGGCTGGGACCTGGTCTATAACATAGTCAACCTTCCCGGCTCCGAAGAGTGCTTGGAGACGATTGCGCGACTGGGCAACCCCCGTGAAGTTATTCTCAAGGTCCTCGAGACCCTCGAACTTCTCAGCCAGGATGACGGCTACCAGAGCGACGACGAAAGCGAGGCGGGCGAGACAAACGGCGAAAAGTCGGTGCCGTTTAAGCAAAAGTTCATCACTCTCGTCAACATGCTATCCATCCTGCACAAGCGCATCAAGACAAAATACCCGAGCCGATTCCTCGCCACATCCCTACAGACCATCTACAACACGTACAGGCCCAACCATGAGATGACTGCGGCCGTCATCAACCTCGTCCATAGCTTGGCCGGCAACAAGAGGCCGCCTCTCCCCAGTCGCAAGTCGAGTGTCAATGTCGCAAATCCAGATCAGTATGGGGATGCTACCAAGAATGCCCCCGATCCCGAGGCAGACAAGGAAACCGAGGATCCCACAGAGTCAGCGATACAGGAAAGGTTGCTCTTGAGCTTTGCGACATGTATCCTCGAGTCTTTTGTCAACAAGAACGACGTGGCATGGGCACCAAGGCTGTTGGAGTTTTACAACCCAGAGAAGATCGTCCCTGGGCGCAAGACTCTCATGGCGAGGTTCCGTGATGAGAAGGAGTTGTCGGAGAAAGATGGCGCCGTTGGACAGTTGGTGGTATGTTTGACTCTAGGTCCCCGTGGATGAAATATCATCGAGTGTGCTAATCAATGGATTCCGCAGGCATTGATCGCCGATCTTGGTTTGTCCTCTTGCGGCAAGAACTTCCTTAGCCAGGTCAGCGAGGGCCCGCTCCATACCGATCCCCTATCCAAAACAGAAGACATAACCAAGCCGGAAGACATTGGCTTGTCGACGGGCGGATGTGTTATTCTTTTGGCATACTGGGTGTTCTCAACAACCGTGTTCGACTCGGACCACCCGGTTCCCGATATGAACATCTTCCCCAACCACCTCGCCATGCTCGAGAAGTTCCTTCAAGACGATGCCGAGGATCAGATCACAAAGGCCCCAGGCACGGTGCAAGCACTGGTTACCATCGGCCTTTGGCTTCACGACAAGGGTCTTATGTCAGCGATTCCCAAGGCATCGCTCGTCAACCAAACGACGAACCCCGACGAACCTACCTCAGACTACATGCGCTACATTCTTTTCGTGACGCTCATTGCCGTCTTCCACCCACAAATACACGTGCGCAATGCCGCGAGCTGTCTGGCCGGACTGGTATTGCACGCCGACCCAGCCGACGACGACCGTCTCAAGATTCTGTACGATCTTCTCGAGAACTGCGACTACGCATCCCTCAAGGCGTGCGCAGTCACATGGCTCCGCGAGGAACTGATTGCCGCCGGTCCCAATGCGCAAGCAGCACCTCAGAATCTTGCGGCTCCGAACAACCAAGCTCCTCTCCCATCACCGACCCTGCAGCCGGGCTTCGCGACACCTGGCACGAGATCAAGGGCTGGAACAAACATGAACGTCTTTGCTGGTCCCCAGGCGCTTGAGACGGTTCAATACGTAGTATTCCCCAACATGGACTCCCTCAAAGAGCAGGATGTCCAGGAGCTGGTGAACTACTTGGGCACCAATGCCCCCTTCATCCTCCAGGCTGCAAATCTTGGCTTGTTCTTGTGGAGCTCGGCAGACAAGTGGAGGAGGGTGTTGCCTCTGAACTTGGATGCGACGGTCAAGGAGCGCTGGTGTGCGCCGCTTAAGGAGGCGGTCGCGAAGGTGAAGAAGGCCGTGGACAGCGGCGAGATTGAGAGCCAAGAGTTGGGATCGTTGCAGTTTGACTTGGATGTGTTGGCTGAGCGGCTGAGTCGGTTGGAGGCGGCAGAGGGTTTTGCTGTTGCGAAATAACAAATGTCTAGTGTTGATTTGATGAAGTACGCCCTACCGTAAAAGCATGGCTTGAGCAAGAGGAGGAATGGATTTATATGGACGCTTTCAACGGGTATGGATGGGAGGACACGATGTATCAAGGGCGGAGTTTGTGGTTCTACGAAAGTCAAGCGAATTAATTGTCTGCTTATACCGTTAATGAGCATGTGCTCGTGTAGCTGGCTGTTACGCACCGAATGGTCGGAAAGGACCAAATGCAAAGGAGTTATCGTATAACCTGCTACCCATCTTTGCCTCGGTGAACCTTTACGCTGTGCAACCTTGGTGGTGATGTGACAAGTGCCCGAATCCAGGGGCCGCGAATGGGGTGACGGCATTGACAATGGCAAATGTGCACAGACCACCTCTCTGCCGGCCAGCCGGTGAACCAGATTAGGTTTAGCGCAATGGCCCCGGCAGCTGACTCCGCACAAGACACAAAAATCCACCATCCACTGCAACAAAATCCTTTCCTGATCCCTTCGTTCAAGTCGACAGACGCAACATAGCATACCTATAGAAGAAATTCTACAGGAAGACGGCCAAGATGTCCAAGATTTCCGTCGGTACGTTTTTGCAATTGATGGCAGTTGCCTTCTCGCTATTTCGCGATTTCGAGATGACGATAGCTCAAAATGCTCCTAAAAAATGGCCAAATCGCTGATTATCCTGACTCTTGACAGCCGCTGTGCGTCAGCACGTTACTGACCTTCTTGAGTACTCTAACGAGACCAAGAAGCGCAACTTCCTCGAGACCGTCGAGCTCCAGATCGGCCTCAAGAACTATGATCCCCAGCGTGACAAGCGTTTCTCCGGCACCATCCGCCTGCCCAGCATCCCCCGCCCCAACATGAGCATCTGCATTCTCGGTGACCAGCACGATATCGATCGTGCCAAGCACGGCGGTGTCGACGCCATGTCCGTCGATGATCTCAAGAAGCTCAACAAGAACAAGAAGCTCATCAAGAAGCTTGCTCGCAAGTACGATGCCTTCGTCGCCTCCGAGGCCCTCATCAAGCAGATTCCCCGTCTCCTTGGTCCCGGTCTTTCCAAGGGTATGTTCTTTTTTGTCTCCTCTCAGTCAGAGACGCAGAATGCTAACGACCTGAAACTACAGCTGGCAAGTTCCCCACCCCTGTCTCCCACTCCGACGACCTTACCGGCAAGCTCAACGAGGTCAAGTCCACCATCAAGTTCCAGCTCAAGAAGGTTCTCTGCATGGGTGTCGCCGTCGGCAACGTTGGCATGACCCAGGAGCAGCTCGTTGGTAACATCATGTTGGCCATCAACTACCTCGTCTCCCTCCTCAAGAAGGGCTGGCAGAACGTCGGTAGCCTTACCATCAAGGCTACCATGTCTCCCCCCAAGCGCCTCTACTAAATGTGGTCATATCGTCTGCTACTAAAGGCAGCGATCACTTTGTTTCTCTTGTAATGTTGGGGTACAGTTAAAAACTAGTCAGCCTTTGATTAGGTCATTACTGGGTTTTTCTGTAATTGGGCAAGCGGCGAGAGATATTTATGGGGTGGTCGCTGTTGGACGGTTACTACATAAGGAGCAGTTCCGTAGTTCTGAAGGGTTAAAATCTAAAGGAATTGCGGTCCATATTTGGTTGTCTTTGCTTGTGCTATATGAATTACTCGTGTGATATGTATGGTTCTGGTTTGAAGTGGAATGTTAGCGCCGTAACTGTGACAAGCATCGGACGACTTCAACGAACAGCAAATCCTACGATATCCGTAGAACTGATATGGAAACATCTTTGTCTAACGGAATCGGGTTCCCGATCGCTGTGTGTTGGCGTGAAACGAGTTTTGCCCCGCTGTGTCCCCGCCCCGCCCCCGAGACATTGGAAATCCGGCATCGCATTAGGTCATGGACGGGTGTCAATCGCGACTTCGGTCGTTGATGACGAATCGAATTATTTAATTGTCTTTGCCTCTTTGATCGATGCCGTACCCTACTAGCAAGATCCCTTTCCGCTTGAACAAATATCCGCTCCAACAACTTTGTCGCAGATTCATCACCACCACCTGTTCATCTGGTCTTGGTCTTCTTCTTCTGCAGTGCCCCAAACCTGCCACACCGCATACCTCTCTCTACATACCTACCGCTACATACCGTCAACTCGTATCGGACATCCCACTCCCACTCTCAACCTTATCACCACCCAACGTCAACAACTGCAATCTCACAAAACATCATCATCACTCAACAACAACAAACAACCGCCTCAACACCCACCACCACCATGCCTCCTCCACCAGCCCTCCCCATCCTCCCTTACCTCTCCTCCTCCTCCGAATCCCCCACCGGCACCGGCCCATCCTCCGCCCTCACCCGCAAATTCGGCCCCGAAACAGCAAACTACTTCTCCGGCTCGCCGCTGAACCGGCTCTCATGGCTGCGCTCCGACCACCTTTTCTTGCGGGCCGCCTTCTCGCACCCCTCAGCCAAGTTTCTTTTGATGAACAGCCTCGGGCCCATGGTCAGCAGCAAGGAGGACCAGGCTCATCTGGGATTTGCGGGACCCGAAGATCTCAGGGAATTATTGGGTGCGGCACCAGAGGTGTTTAAGAGTGAGGAGGAGGTTGTTAGGGGGTTTGATTCTGAGGAGATTTTTGGTGGGAGACAAAAAGGGGGTGAAAGGGTGGTGGTCTTCTTGGGGGTTGAGTTGGAGGATAGTCCTAAGGGGGAGGGAAAGGAGGGAAAGGATGGTGATGATAAAGAGGGGGAGCAGGGGGATGTGTTTGAGTGGAAGGGGTTTAGGGGCACGCCGTATTTTGCTGTTGATGTCACGCCTCGTGAGGCGGATGGGGAACAGGGGAAAGCTAAAGCGGAGGAGCTGATTAAGAGGATGGAGGAAGAAAAGGGACATGTGTTTTTGAGCGCTAGTCCTAGGGGGATGGGGTTGGAGGCTGGTCATGGTGAGTTTACCTTTTTTACGGATCCTACCTGATGTTGTTGGAAGAAGGGATGGAGACTGACGGGAAAAATACAGCTGCCATGTACGGCCAAGCCCGCGCCCTAATCGACTGGAACGCCCGCAACCTCTTCTGCGCTCAGTGCGGCCAGCGCACCATCTCGGTCCACGCCGGCACCAAGCGCGTGTGTCCCCCGACGGATAAGGGCAAGGACCGGCCGCCCTGCGCCACCCGCGGCACCGTCTCGAACCTGTCTTTCCCGCGAACCGACCCGACCGTGATCATGGCCATCGTCAGCGCCGACGGCACCAAGGTGCTTCTGGGTCGCCAACGGCGCTGGCCTCAGTACTGGTACAGCACCCTCGCCGGGTTCCAAGAACCGGGCGAGTCGATCGAGGAGGCGGTCCGCCGCGAGGTCTGGGAGGAGAGCGGCGTCACGGTCGGACGCGTGGTGCTGCACAGCTCGCAGCCGTGGCCGTTCCCGGCGAGCTTGATGATTGGGGCTATTGGTCAGGCGGTACCCGGTGATGGAGAGAAGATCTTCTTGGGTCATGACGCCGAGTTGGAGGATGCGAAGTGGTTCCCGCTGGAGGAGGTCAAGGAGGCGCTGGACAAGGGGGCGAGTAACATGGGAGAGTCTGCGCCGGAGGGATACGTCGAGGGCGCGTTGAGGTTGCCGCCGCAGACTGCGATTGCGAATCGGTTGATTAATGCGGTGGTCGAGGGGTGGTGGACTATGCCCAAGATTTGAGTTGGTGTTGTGTCGCGTGTCGGCGAGCGAGTTCTCTTATATATAGAAGGGTTTTGCATACATACGTAGACTTGCCAGTGCTCGTTGACCAGTGCTCGTTGACCAGGTGATTGTGCATTATGAACAATGGCATATTTTTGGTAAGAAGCAGTCGAAAACCGCAACATTAAATTGCAACGGTATGAGAACGAGACGTTATGTGACGACCTGTTAGCTCGAATCGATGTCAGGTTCACATCTTTCCGAAATCGACATGCCTTCTTGAACAGAGGACCAACATCAACATCTGGACAAACAGTCGCTCATGACCGTAGACCAGAAGTTCCAAGCACACAATTCGGACAACAGCGCGTCACCCACACCACACATTCACCACGGGCAAAATCTCGACTTCTTCCCCACGTCGCCCCCCTCAAGGAGCGAACACAGCGAAAAAGATTGACAAAATGTCGAAACCACCCCACGATCACGGACCTAGAATGTTCGACGTCCGCGACTAGTGTAAAGGGAAGAGATGGAGAAGCATTGTTTTAGGAGGCCGGGAACGGAGGAAGACCCATCGGGAGTATGGTACAAGAGTAACCCTCAGCAAGCCGCTATGCGGAGCCGCCATTATTAATGTAGTTAGTAAACAAGGCCACTCCCCAACACATGGCGGTGTAGAGAGAGCGTCCTTGCCACTGAAGAAAAAAAAAGGAAAGGAAAGATTGAAAGGAGGGGAACTGAGGGTATTTTTATATGGGGTGGGAAGTGTTTGGCGCTAGTGGGGTTTCGGCCGGTAGGGCTTGGGGGTTTGGGGTGGATACAGGTGGTGGGCAGCTGGCGGGGTGAAATTCTTGGTGGGTGGGTGCTGGATTTCAGTTGGGAGCGGGAAGGTGCGATAAGATAGCTATGGGTGGGACGTGCGGTAGGAGAGGAGGGAGGCTCGAGGGAGGCCATCGCGGTTCACCACAGTGACAACATCATTGACAGTGTTCTGGATTACACATTTCATCAACTTACTTGTCGTGTTGATTTGAGCTTGTTCTCCATTCACATACAACCAAGTGGCTGAACACGCTATCCGGCATATATACACCCACTTTCTCATCACCATCACAATCCTTCTTCTCTCACAAGTAATAATCCACCCCTAACCCAATCCCCTTACACTGCTGTACCTCCCTCCACCCATTCTCCAACCTACTAGGCCAATCCAACACCTTCAACTTGACCCCTCCTCTCCTGCTACTGGCCACCCACTTATTCCTGTTCACCTCCCTCCTCGTACTCTCAAACCCCCTCGCCCTCAAGAACCCCTCATCAGGATTCGGATCTCCCGTCCGGATGAAGCTCGCAAAGCTATCCAGCACGAACTGCTCAAACGGCAAATCCTTCTCATCGCGCACGGGTAGCCCCTGGCGCGCCAAGTTGCCAAAGACATAGTACAGCTCGCCCGAGTGGCAGCGCAGGTACGGCTTGCTCGGGTCACCGAAGGGGTGCGACGCCGTCTTGGGAGGCTCGCACACGTCCAGGTTCGGCCAGCCGCCCGTCTGATAGGTGCGGTCGAACTCGTAGTAGAAGACGCGCGAGAAGCGGTTGTTGGCTAGCCCGGCTTGCACGGTGGCTTGGTCGATGCAGCGGAAGATGCCGTCGGTCGCAAGGCGAGAGGAGGAGTTGAAGAGGGCGAGGGTGGCGTTGGGGGTGGGCGGGAGCGGGAAGAGGGATGGTGAGGCTAGGGAAGGAGAGAAGCCCTGCGAGAGCAGATAGGCCGTTTGGTTGGTAGTGGACGGGTAGCTGATGAAGGGTGCGCCGTCGTCGTGGGTGATGCCCATCATGAGGTCAATGCCGCTGGGGCCGGCGCGGCGGGAGAGGTCGAGCTCCGGCGAGACGAGGTAGGTGCCGTCGACGACGAGGTAGCGGGCTGCGGCGCCTGTGGTCAGCTTCTCTGCAGGGAGCTTGCGGAGGCAGGCCACGTCGGTGCAGTTGTTGGCGGTGAGGACGGCGTTGCCGACTACAGCCGTCTCCTCGGCGATGGTGTAGTACCGGCTGTAGGTGGTGCCGTAGTTGATACCGCCGAGGTTGCTCAAGGGAATGGCGCGAGCGAACAAGCCCTTGGCCTTTGGGCTGGCTAGCAGCGCGCGAACGGAGCCAGCGCCGGCAGATTGCCCGAAGATGGTCACTTGATCGGGGTCACCGCCGAACTTGGCAATGTTCTCGCGCACCCACTGCAAAGCAGTGACTTGGTCAGCGAGGCCATAGTTGCCGTTGGTCTTTCCGTCCGCAAGCGCAAGGAAGCCGAGGCTGGAGAGGCGATAGTTGATAGCAACAACCACCACGTCTCCTCGCGACGCCATGTGACCGCCGTCAAAGGTGGAATCGGAAGAAGTACCACCGGTAAAGGCACCACCATGAATCCAAACGGCCACCGGCCTCAGATCCTTCTTCTTCTTCTTCTTCTTGTCACCGCCCTTACCCTTCCCTTTGTTTCCACCATCAGCAGCAGCCGGGAGGTAAGGAGTCCAAACATTCAGAAACAGACAATCCTCACTCTGTCCCGCTCCTCCACCGTTCTGCACGCATTGGCTGCCGTACTCCAGCCCGGTCACCTCCTTCTGCTTCCCCTTTCCATCATCTCCACGGTACAGGGTAGAGTAAGTGAACCTCCCTGGCTTGGGAGCGTACCGCAATCCCAGAAACCGGAAAGAAAGCCGATCTCGGAACCCAGTGATCTTCTCATTTCCGTTCACCCCTTCCACACCAACTTGCCACTTCGCACTCTTGTCTTGCGCTTGGTTGTTTGAAAATGGCGCAGTCTGCGTGCACAGGACCGCATACTCGGGCGCTTTCCCCTTTCCACTCCTCACATCGGAGACCGAAATCCGGCCGGAAGGGGAAACATCAACCACCCTCGGCACAGACGGGTTCTTGGACGAAGGGGCGATCCAAAAGGTTGTCCCGGTAGAAGAGGACTTGCCGGAGCGGTAGAGCAGGTAATCGAGGTTGGGCTTGATGCTTGACGTGGAAACGACCTCGGGCGAATAGAGTGATTCGCCTAGGGAAGAGCAAGATTGGGAAGCTTGAGAGAAGGGAACCGAGTTAGAGAGAAGGAGGATGGAGGCGTTGGCGGAGGGGCTGGTTGCGCCTGCAATCTGTTAGTGTCCAGTTTGAGCCCGAAAGAAAAAAAATGTGAGTATACCTTGGAGATCATTGTTGACAATGATGGTGAGATCGGAGTCGAGGGCGTTGGGAGAAGGTGAGCTGTTGCTAGCTGCTGCGGTGAGAGAGACCGAGGAGAGGAGGGTTGAGAGGATGATGGCTCCTCGCAGGGAAGAAGTGATCACCATCTTGCCTTGCTCGCTCTCTGTGACTACTATCACACCAAATAGACGCGTACAGAGCACAAAGTGAGAAAAAGAAAACAAGGTGAGCGGAAAAGAGTAAATCTCGTGGTTATGCTAACGGGAACAAGCTTTCTTAAATACAACCGTCCCAGATACTACCCGGATATCACCGCTTTGCTGGATACGATCTTCTACATCATCGCTACCACAACGTTCATTCCAGGCCTGGACTACTACCTAGCTACAAGCTAGTGTGGTGAAAACCTGGGGGAATAACCTGGGGTTAACGCAGCCGGTCACCCGGTGAAGCTATCGTGGGCCGTTCTCCCGGGACATGGAGGCCATTGACCAGGCGAGCCAGGTATGTAAAGTCGGTCAGTCGAGAATTCTAGAACTTCGTTCTCCTCACTTACACTTACATACAACCACAATGACGGAAGCGACGAAGTAACATTGGGGTCAAAGCTCGCGTGTGTTTTTAGCCTAAATGATTCTCCCTGTCCCTATTCTTCTTCTCCTCCTCTTCCGCCGCACTTTCCTCCGCACTCCGCAGCACGATTTGGGGAAGGTAAGGCGAGGAGAGAGAGAGAAGAAGGGGGGAGTTGGGGAATTGTACCCGCTTTTCCCAACCGAGGCCATTGAGATACGGTACGCGATGGGGACTCCTGGGAAAGGAAACAGCGGCGCCGTCCCGACCTGCCGGAGAGCTTCTACTTTGTGTTGTGCGCGGAAGGAAAGGACCTTCTGGCGGCTCGAGACCCCAAGATGGAATTGAAGCTGCGTCGGTTCTGGGGCTGAATGTTCAGTTGAGTGGTATCTTCCCCAGATTCATAAGGATACCACCAAAGCAAGCGATTTATGATTTGCCTGTCGAAATTCGGTGTTGCGAGCATCAAGCTGCCATCCCATCGGCAAGTTGTCTTCAACTCAGACCTCATCGGAGATAAAACATCAATCACTGTTTGATACTACCATCAATCAGCCGAAACTTCAAGAAGGTTATCGGTTTATCGGTGGCGCTCCTTGACTGAAAGGGGTAGTTATAGCGACATACATGCATCGCTAGATCCGATAGAGAGGGGTGAAGCCACTGGGAAAAGAAAACCAGTTCGAAACTCCTGAAAGTTATTGTCAACTTCAGTGAGGGAGGGGAGTTGGCGATATTTTGGCTGAGGCTATTGACATGTGCTAGATACCTAGGCAAGAGGTCAAGTTCTTCATATCAACGATTCTGTCCAACATCAGCTAGAAACTGCCGAAAGGAAATGACTTGTGTGCCGCAATGCAACGAACAAAACGCTTCCCCGAGGCCCAAGCAGAAGGAGACACGAATGGAAGAAGGCTTCTTCCGTCCTTCTCGGCGCTCATACCTTCCAGGTTGTGATTGTATGCCACCGAGCAACATCTCATCCCGACTTGCGGTGCACAACATGGTTTGATGGTACACACCGGGTCTACTCAGCCGCACTTCGACGGAGGACGAACACTACTCAGATGATTATTCAGAACCCACCGTTTTTGTTCCAAGTCATTATTCCTATCATTTTCGACGGAGCACGACGGGATCGAGGGAACAACTTCGAATGTCATATCAAGTTCAAGGTTTCCATCCCATTGATACGCTCGTTGGATTGGATCGGTCGCACCTGGACGGAGAAGGAAGCGTTGGCGCGGCAAAGCACTCGAACGTGTCATTGGTAACCGTAACCGTTGCAGCGCTTGTTACGGCTTTAATGGTCCGCTAACACCCTACAAGTTCTACTGGTTAGGTAGTATTTGAGGCACAAGGAAAGTGCGAAGCTTGTTTTGCTGGTGCCTGTTGTGTAAGATCCGATCCATATACCTAGTGGGCCATTCCACTTGAAGTCATTTTTGGCTGTCCAAGCGAGTCCGCTCGACGTCTTTGAGGCGAAATCCAACAACGAGGAGACTCATGATCAAGACAAAAGAGTTGTCAAGTCGAGGAGTCCATCTCTCGATTATCAACAAGTGGACCATATGTCAACACCATGGCCCATTTTCGAAAAGATCATCAACCAAAGACCCTGAACCACAATCACTGTAACCAAAGGCATGAACTGGGCCTCATTGAGCCCTGCAAAGAGGAATCGAATAGCGGGATTGGCCGAAAAAGCTTGTTATGATAGGTCCCCTGGTCAGTCACTCACCACCACCACAACATTTTGTCCACAAGTCTCAAAGTGGCTGTTGAGACGTTCGGGCCTGTGAACATGTAACTGTTACTGACCACACCACGATCCTTCGTCCGAAAATGTCACCATTAAACAGATTCAGCCGCTCTCTCAAGTGGAAATGGGTGTAGTAGCCCAAGCGCCCACTCAGCCACAACGATATGGTGCTACATCCCGTCACAGCCTTTCTAAGTCTACAATCTATTCTACATGGCTATGTAGTAGATCCTCGGACTTTCCGCCTGGCCTTCGCATTCGATTACCTGGAGGATCTCTTTCTTCCCATCCATCCATCCATCCATCTTTTCTGTCCCCGAACAAACCTCAAACACGCTGGTTTTGTGCTTGAAGGATGAAGCAAAGCCGATAGCACCCAATTCAGTTCCTGGCTTGGCGACAAACCAACAGCAACGACATTGCCTACCTACCTCTCTAGCTTTTTTTTGTTTTTTTTTAAGTAGTTGGCGATCACTCTGAGTCGAGTCTGTGTCACGAACAAATAACAATAGGTAACAATAACATCGACATCCCTCCCAAGGAAAATAAAATGGACGACAAATCCGCCCGGGCGGCCGCCAACGCCCCCGAGGTAGCAGCCTGGGAACATACTCCCTACCAAGGAATCGAACGAGCTCCCTCTCCGCAACGACCACCACAACATATACTACACCCAGAAGGGCAACCAGGCCTGGAACCCGCTCCCCATTCCACCCTCGAACTCAGTCCACACCAAATCTCAGACCACGACAAACTTTCTTCATATGGCCCAACATCCACCACCTTGTCTAGCGGGACCTCACCGTACTCTCCTACGTACGTCCTCCCTCAACCATATGGATATTCGCAACAACATGGGAACATTGGGTCGGTGCATGTGCCTGGAGGGACTAGCACGCTTGCGGATTCGAGCGCAGCAGCTGAGGAGATAAATGACAAGGAGGCTGGTAATGGTAATGGTAATGGTAATGGCGATGGGGATGATGGGAAAAACGGCAAAAGTAAGCGGTACTGTTTTGGTTTGGGGACCAAGAGACAGGTGGCTTGGTCGTTGTTGGCGATTGGGATTTTTCTGATTGTGGTTGGTGTCGCGGTGGGTGTAGGTGTGGGTGTCAGTTCTGGGAATAAGAAGGATGGGAATAGGAATAGGTGAGTTTCCCGTTCTTTCTTTCTTTCTTTCTTTCTCATTCAAGTCGATGTGCGGTGAGTGGGTTAAGGAAGGAAGGAAGTTTAAGAAAGAATGATGGATGACCGAACGGGGGGGAACCTGACGGAGGGTTGACTTACTCCATACTCTCGGTCTCGGGTCTTGGCTTCCGGGTCCGGATCCGGGTTTGGTCCGACATTGTGGAGTCTCAAATACATATCCTCATCCCCGATCCTTCCTTCCCCGACGACCCCCTTCGAGTTCACTGTCGCCAGGGCAGTCTTGCTAACAATCAACACAGTCCCTCAACACCAACCCCAACATCCTCCTCAACCGCCCACCCCTCCTGGACACACACAGCCAACCTCCCCCCGCCCACCGCCTACGCCACCATCACTCCCTCAACATCCATCATCTGCCCCTCCAACAACCTAACCCTTTACACGCCCTCGAACGGGACGACCCTCACCTCCTCCAGCCGCGGAAAGGGTTATCTGTTGATCTGCGGCCGAGACTACAGCTCGCTGGCGGGAGCCGAGGAGATCACGAACCGGCAGGCCGACTCGATCGAGACGTGTATCGACCGGTGCGCTGAGGTGGACAACTGTATCGGGGCCGGGTGGGGGAATTACGAGGGGAAGCAGATTTGTTGGCTGAAGAGTCGGTTGGGAAACCCCGGTTGGACGCCCGACTGGTATATGGCGGTTAGGGAGGATGCGGTGCTGCATGATGGGAGTGAGGGGGGGTTGGGTGGGGATACGGAGAGTGGGTGAAACTGAGGGTTCAGGCGCGGTTTTTGATCTTGTATACAAGGCTGGGGTGTATTTCTGGATGATAGTACAAGAGTGTCTACGTGGGCTGGGAACATGGGTTTTTGTTGTTAGGATGGGGGCATACTGATTTGGTAAAGAAAGACGAGAGCGTTGGAAGAAGATCTTGCAGACCCCTCCATGACACGGGTCGATGATGTAGAATGAATTACTGGTGGAACTGTGCCTGGAAATCCAGGATGAGAAGGAATGAGCAACTCAGATATGGATACGCCTTTTCCCAAGCGAGTCTCAGGTACTCAGGGGACGTGGCGGGAAAGTCCATCATTGGGAGAAACACAGGTGAGAAACGAAAAGTCTTTCCATTTCATTCTTGATGTGTACAACTCCCACTTGGGCTTATCAACGTCTCTACCATGGAACTGGAGAAGATCATGCGAGATCCAACATAGGTATGTTATCTTCGTTCATTATACAGTACGTAAAGACTATGCGTGCAGTAAGTAAACCGCCATCGGCTGATTATGCTGCGAAGGTTCGTAGCAGCTCAAACATGAAAACAAAGCAAAAAAGGCTGTCGCTAAAAACATAATTTATCGAAACCCCAACATCCATCCATTGCTCACTCACCCACCAGCCCCCAAGTTCCAAGATCATCTATCTCACTTCTTCAACTTCAACACCACCCAAGCAGCCAGCCTCCACCCGACAATGATACAGAACATAATCCCAATATCCCTCCCCTGCTTGCCCGGCTTATACCCATACTGATCCAACACGCCCTGTCCCCTAATCAGGCACTGATCCGCCAAGTCGGTCTGGAACATGCACTGACAATCGCTCCCATTAACACTCGTCATTCCGGCCGGCAGTTTTCCACAGGTATACACGCGATCCTTGAACTCGTTGATCATCATGTTCTCAAACACGTACTTCTGGTAATCCCAGTAGTGGAACACGTATTTGTAGAAAACGTTGAGGATGGTAGGCTGCACCATGAACCCGTCGACGCTCATCCACAGGCCGTTGGCGAAGGCCACCAGGGCAAGGGAGATGACGAAGGAGGGGAAGAGCGAGGACATGAACACTACCAGGCCTTCGGCGGCCAGCAAGTCGCAGAAGAGCCAGAAGACCCAGGTGAAGAAGGCCTGGGCGGTGGGCTGGAAGTTGACGAGCCAGTAGGAGATGACGGAGAAGAGCAGGGAGAAGAGGAAGAGGTAGGGGATGCCGATCAGGAAATTGGAGATGATCAGCGCGGTAGGGCCGTAGAGCCCGTTGCGACGTTCTTTGATGTATTGGAAGTAGTCCTCAAGCCAGGCAGGGCAGTAGGCGACGGCCATGAAGGACATGAAGGCGCAGCCGCTGTTGTGTTGGTGATGGAGTTTGTTAGCATGTTACTTTAAAAGAGGAATTGGGAGAGAATAGAAATTGTTGACTTACAAGAACAGAGCGTTGATAAAAGGGATGATGGACTCCTGCGCAGCATCTAGTCTCACCCAGACAGTACCGACCATGATGGCGAGACCAAAGTACATGGCTGCTCTGATGCCATATGCAACCACATCGCGATAACTCTTGATGAAGCTCCGATGCAGTAGCGTTATCGTACTACTGACCAAGCCCGGCTTTGTCCCTTGTCCAGCGGTGTCGACTTGCTCACCACCTCTGGCTTCCGCCTTCGCTACCGCAGCAGTCAACTGCTTCGCCTTTTCCGACTCTTGCCAAGCAGTCTGCATCTCGTCCAAAGCCCTGACTGCCTCCTCGCGCTCGGAAGCAAAGTCGATGTTGACCAAGTCCAACAAAAACTCGGCCGGGTTGACATGGAGCGGCACCTCGTGCCCTAGGGACTCGTAGTGCTCGGTGACGCCCGCGACAGGACCGAAGTAGTGCGTCTTGGCAGCAGAGAGAAGCATGAGTTTGTCGAAGAGGTTGAAAGTTGCTGTGGAGGGTTGGTGGATCGAGGCAATGACGATCAACTGTTTTATGCCTTCAGTTAGCCGCGACTTCCTTTCAGGTACCAAATGTCAACCACAGAAAGGGGAAGAAAGACTCACGTTATTCCTCCTCGCAACCCCCTTCAAATACTTGATCACCTCCCACCCAGCCTTACTATCCAACCCGCTGGTCGGCTCATCCAAGAACAAGATCCTCGGGCAGGTAATCAACTGACTGGCGACACCCACCCTCCTCTTCTGGCCACCACTGATGCCTTTACGAATCGGCGTTCCGATCAGCGCGTCCTTCTGCTCCCGCAGTCCAAAGGCGTCGAGCAACCCTTCAATCCTGGCAATCCGCTCCTTCTTGGGGAGAACCTTGGACGAGATGGAGAGCCGTGAGCTGAAGTCGAATGTCTCTCTTACGGTGAGGGACCCTATCAGGTGATCTTCTTGCTCGACGAAGCGGGTGATCTCGCGGAAGGTGGAGGTAGGCGTGGGTTGGCCGTTGATGAGCACGGAGCCGGTGGTGGTGGTGCCGCCGCGGCCGGAGGAGGCGGGGAGAGGCCTGGACGCCAAATAGTTGAGAAGGGTTGTCTTGCCGCACCCGGAAGGGCCCATCAAGGCTACGATTTCGCCTGATGAAGGGGAGGGAGAGGTGTTAGTTGAAGAGGTACCTTCATGAGAGAGTTGAAGGGAGACAACTGAAAGACGTACCAGCCTCTACGATGCCATCCACATTATCGACAATATTCTTCGGTTCCTTCGTCTCTCTGTCCTTAACTGTCACCGTCACGCCCTTCCAGCTGATATTTTTGACTGTCGTGTTGACGAGATGGGATTCGGCAACAGCATGTTGTTCGATGTCGATGCCATGTTCGACGACGGGATTCTTCCGCTCGACCTCGGTGCTGTTCCCGGAGGATGGGTTGGAGAAACCCATTTTTCGCTGTTGATCTTGATGTTGTTCGTCAACGTGTACCGAGTAAATAAAAGTGAGGTAGTAGGTAGTAACAACGAAGTGTTGATACAGTCAGTCTCAAGTCTCTTTAACCACGATATCCCGACTGAAACAGACGAAGCAACAAAACACAGGGTAACCAAAACATATTCCATCTCTTTGAGGGTTCCATCCCGAGCCTTATATGTAATCGTACATACACCTCAACGGTCACACTAACCCTCCCATCTCATCCCTAAGAGGTAAGGCTCAAAAAGAAAGAAAAAGTCAAGCCATACCAAGCACCCCAATGCAGCTTACAGTAGTAGTACACTACCTCTGCCACAAACTTCGCCGACCAGTGCAACTCTAAACAAAGACATCCATCCATCCATCCTTCATACCCATCTTACACGGTCCCCGGTACACGGAGTAAGTGTGATACTGTACCGGCCGCCTGCCAATAACCCCGGGAAAAAAAAAACATTGGAATTT